ACATCCCAGTGCTGTGCTTTCACAACAGCGCTCTGCTTCTTCCTTAGCCCTTTTGCAGGCTCTGCAGGGAGGAATTTATTTCAGACATCAAACGTTTTTCCCTTACACAGAGCACCATCCAATAGCAAATCTCAGGGTCAGATGCTCAAAAGAACTTGACGCCCATGTGGGCCTAAGGAGAAGTGGGTGGATTTTACAAAGAGCTCAGCTCAATCTAGGGTTACCTCCTTTGAAATGCAACAAAAATCCCAACCTCCTCTTCCCACAGGGCAACTCCTGAGCTCCCACCCTTTCAACAGTTACTCACAGTAGCTAGAGGTATCCCACATATAGGTAAGTTCAGCAGAGCCAACAACCTCTGTGGGCCCCAGGGCAAGGTGGGGGGTAGTTCCACACTCCTGGAAGGGGCGAGGCTGGGAGCAGCCAGTCCTCAGCACTGCCCGGAGTGCAGCGCCCCCACCTTCTCCCAGGCCTTAGCACTACCCAGAGCACATGGCACTCCAGCAGCAATTTAAAGGGCTCCACCAGCCACCGCCACTGGCCCTGGGGCAACCGCCTCCTTGCCCCCCACCATCGGAGGGGCTGGATACGTTGGATACACTGCACTTCTCCGCACTGTCCTGTGACTCCGACCACAGTAGAGGGGGCCTGCGTGTTGGTGGGCAGACAGCTGGCGTGTTTTCAACCACTTTGACCTGTGGAAGTGAGACCCCGGCAGCTTCTTTAGCCAGACACGGACATTCACCATTCGATGTCCCAGTCGCTTGTGATAACAAAGCAAATCTTCAGAGCCAAGAACAAAAACTCGCCAGATTAAATTATATTTCTGTAAACAAGCAGTTACCCCAACCAGGATGGGAGCTGCAGGGGGGCTGAGAACTTCTGAAAGTCTCACCCCGGTGGTGGCTGCTGACTGTAGGGCCAGCCAGAGAACTATTCTGTTTGGTTAAAAATTCAAAGGCTTTGGAATTTGGGTTTGTTCTTATATGGAGCAAAAATGAGGCCTTTGGAATTCCAGCATGGAAAGAAGCACAGGAAACACTTTTGGGGGATGCAAATTTGTCAGAGGAGGGTCTTGAACTGGGGTCCTGAACAACCTAGCGGAGACTCAGCCTCATAACTGCCATTGCCAGCAGCAAGTGCAAGGAGTTTCCAGATTAAACGGGATGGAGATAAATGCAACTTTGGTGTCGGCCTGTTACTATTTTTCTGGTAGCAGAGTTAGGCTATGTCTACACAACAAGCCCATTCATTCAAAATAAATTCAAAAAACGGGCTTCTTGCTCCAACTCCTGCAACCCTCATTGTAGGAGGAATAAGGGAAGTCGGGGAAGAGTGCTCCATTTCCAAATAACTGCCGTGCAGACTGCGCCAGAAGTCAAAATAGGCTATTTCGACTTAAGCTTATTTCGAGTTTAGCTCTGCTGCGTAGTGGTGCCCTTACGGCCCTGCAATCAGTCCGGAGCTGCTTTCCACCACCGGTCTGCTGCGCTGCGCTTGCTTGCTGCATTGCCCAGCCCAGGCTTCCACGTTCTAGACCGCAGGCATCTGGGACATTAGACACCCTTTGGAAGAGGGTATTTTTATTTGTGAGTTGGCAGCACGAGGGCCATGTAGCATGAGGACCAGAGCAGAGCTCCAGCCAATGCTCGTGCGAGGTTTACACAAAACGAATCTGGCCTTTGTAGCATGGGTGCTTATCCTGTGGTTACTACTGTTTCATAGTTGTTTGGTGCTTTACAGAAACCTACAGTACCTCTGGGTGGGAAGACAGGCTCCCTGTTCAGCCTTTCCCTCTTCCTGCTTTTTGTTTCTCTTCCCCAGTCCTATTGTTGCTTCTTTTCTTTCACTGCCGTCCCCCTTCCCTGGTCTGTTGCCAAAAGGGCAGTAAGGACAGAGTCCTGCTGACAATTAAAAGCCCATCCTTAGCTTTCAGAGGCAACACCCCAGTAAAATCAGTCGGGGAGATATGGCTGACACCTTGCACAGCCATTGGTCAGGATGTTTGCAAACTCAGAGGAAGTGCTGCTTTGCTTTGCTTTGCTTTGCTTGTGTAAGGGGACTGTTACCCCTTACTAAAACTCTGTGGGAGTTTTTGGTTTGCCAGCTCGCAGTATCTGAAGGGGAAGAGTTCATGAGACTGACTGACCCCAGAGACAATGGAAAGCAGCCAACACTCCAGCTCTGCCTCATTGACAGGTTGGACAGGCCAGTGAGGAAGGGGAGAGGCCAGGCCCCGTCCTCCCTGTGAGCTGGGATTGTTCTGGCTCTCCCTCTCTCTGAACAAACAAGCTGTGTGCAGAAGAGGTCCTGCAAAGACAGAGAGCTGAAAAGAGCAGTGCAAGCTGTATGAAGAAGTCCTGCAAAAGGAACAGAGAGCTGAGACACTGCTAAGAGGAGTGCAAGCTGTGCTGAGGGGCAGTTTTTGCAGCAGCAGAGCCAGGCATACAGAGCACAAGGAATGCAGACCCTGTGTTGAGCAGCAGACTGGCAGGGCTCAGAGAGCAAAAAGGAACAGAGAAGCAACACAAGGAGCTGGAACTGGCCAAGCAGCACAGCCTGCAGCTGGATGTGGTGAGCACCTGGGACCAGCAAAGTGTGGGGAGAGGCTCTGGACTGGGGGAGGGGTCTGGCCACTTCGAGCTTGAGACTGTGTGGTCACTACCAGAGCTAGCGTGTCCAGCCTGTAGCCCCCCCTGCAGCATATCCAGGGCCTCTAAGAAAGAGACTGTGGACTGTCCTTATACTCTGCAGGCTGCTGTTTTGATGTCCCTGTGCTACAGAGCAGAGCTGTGTGTTCTCATTTAACCATTCTCATTTTTTTCTTATTCTTTTCTCTTTAATCCGTTGTTGTTTAATAAATTGTATTTGCTTTGAACCTTATAAAGTGATCACTGGGCCAAGAAGGCCTGCAGTGTAAAGAGAGCACCTCGGAGTGGGGACACCCTAACTCCTGCCCCTAGTGACTACAAGGTCAGGGATTAAGCCCCAGGAAACCTGGGCCCAGCCTTGTTGGGGTTTCAAGGGCTCTGCTACTCAGAAGAGTGGAGGGGGAGCCCTCAGGATCAGGGAGCCGTGGGGTAAAGGAAGTGGGAGCGGGGACTCAGATCCTTTCACTGGTTCATTTCACCGGGGTGTATAGAAGCCAGGAAAGTTCCCCACAATAGCGGGACCATTCCCCCGCTTACACTTGGATGGGTTTTTGGTTCACATTCATTAGGGTGAGTAACGTGGTGAGGGGGTTGGGCTTTCTTAAAATAGAAATGTAGATTCTGCAGAATTTGAATATGCTGTATGAGCTCCATAAATAGGACTCAGCTGCAGCCTCAGTGTGTGCAAACCCAGGTACATGTTGTATCTGTATGTTGTGGGCCATGCACGTATGTTCTGAGTCTGTACTTTATATTATATGCCCTTAGTGTAAATTGTACAGTCAGCCTGTCTAGGATGGGTTCCAGGTAATAAATTCCCTCCTGTTGTGCTTTCTATAGCTGGCTTGCCATGACCCTCCTTTCTCCTTTGTTACTGGCCATCCCTGGACCTGCTCTACTCCCCCTGAAAACCGCCTTGAGAGTTGGAAGACTTTTCCATTCTGCATGGGGACAAAATGGAGATGTTTCAAAACCTTGAGGAGAAATAGAGAGCGGCAGCTCTGCCCAGAATGGTTTCAAGAGCGAGGCCCTCGCAGGGAATGTGGGAAGAAGAGGGAGAAACCTGCACTCTTTCAGAGTGCTACACAAATTGCATAGTTTATTTTGAGTGAATTTTGAAATAGCTTATTTCATAATTTGGTGCAGTCTACACAGCACCTAATTCCAAAACTGAGCGCCATTCCGAAACGTCCCTCAATCCTTGTAGAGAGAGGCTACACGGACGGACTTGCTGAAAAGACACAGAGTAGCTATTTCGGGACACTTCCAGTACCCTGAAATAGCTCCATAGTGTGGACAGCCTCACGGACCCTGTGAGCACCTGAACAGCTGAGCTAGAGGAGCTCTTTCTGGACCACTGCATATTGACACAAAGTGGAAGAGCTCCACCAGGAGCTCTGGAGAAGGCAAGGCAGCGCCTGACTCTCTCGTCTGGGAGCCTAGACATGCATCTGAACTGAGGGAGACAAGCTCCAAGCCAGGACACTGGCACTCTGTGCCACACGCCTCCGGGACACTCTCTGGCTCCAGCTGGAAAAAAGTTTTGTCCAAACTGACTCTTTCCTACAAGATGTTTCCATTTGGATAAATCAAATGAAAAAACATTTTATCATAGAATCCCCGACCCCCTCGGCCCACAGCCAGATTCGACGGTGCTCCTCAGACACTCCAATGCTCCTGGTGTCAGAGGCAGCGCCCAAAGGACAGACTACTTACTTTGCTAGGTGAGCAAGTGTAACCCCCACACCTGCTGGGTGCACTGTCCCATCTAGTGGCATGGAGGCCCATACACAGAGAAGACTGAATCTGCTCTACAGCCTTATCTAGTAAGCAGCTGGCTTTTAACACGTGGTAGAGGCTGATGCACTAAGCTCCAGCAGTTCAGTTCCAAGAAGTAGCAGAGAGAGGCCATAAGCTCTGCTCATG